ATAAAAACAAGAAGTAAATATATTATTTAACCAGTTACATAAGCGATGAAGATCTTGATTAACTTTTTTACAAAGAGTCGTGAGGGGTTTGTTGATATATAAAAGATTGGTATCGTCAGCATAATGATGTATCATAAAATGTTTTAATGAACAAGATAAATGATTTATATATAATAAGAACAACAACGGTCCAAGAACGGAACCTTGTGGAACGCCATATTTAATAACTTTATGTGTGTTTCAAATCCATTAATTGAAACAAACAGAGTGCGATCCGTAATATATGAAGAAAACCAATGATTAGCAATACCATGTATTCCGTAGTACTTTAACTTTTTTATTAGAATGTTGTGATCAACCGTATCAAAAGCTTTTTGAAGATCTATGAATACACCACAAGCAAAAAAACCACTGCCAATTGCACCACGAATCATTTCAGTAATGCTAATAAGAGCGTGAGAAGTGGAGTGATTTGAGCGAAACCCAAATTGTCGAATATGAAAAAAAGCAGAATTATTTAAAAAGTAGTAAATACGAGAATACATAAGTTTTTCTAAAAGTTTGCTGACATTTGATAATAATGAAATTGGTCTGTAGTTATTACATTTAAGTTTTGAGTCTTTTTTATGAATTGTGTGTATGTGTGGGGGGGGGGGGGGGCAAATTCATCAATTTGTGAAAAAAAGTCCTCTATATCAAGATTTTTCTTAGAAAAAAAAAAAAAAATAACGGACGCTACTTTGGATTAGTCTTAATGACTATTTGTGGCTGTTCCTATGCTAAGCCAACAATATCTTCGGATATAAGAGCATTGTATAGAAAAATATAGCATGAAAACTCAAATAAATAAAAAATAAAAAAAAAGATCAATTTTTAGCAGGTTAAATCATCTTTCCAATAGTGAAAAAATTATGTAAATCCGATCTTTCATAAGATTTGTTAGATTTAGCAAAAATTGCTTAACTAGCCCCGTTCTTCCCCATGTCTAATTTTATTTTTTCAATTAAAAAACATATAATATGGCTCATTAATGCACTCTGTAACCATATGACCTCTTAAGACTTTTGTAAAAGCTTTTCTACTAACCATACGTTTTACTCTAATTTTAGAGTAAACCTGCCATTAAATTTTTTTTTATAGCAGTTCCAATTAGTCCAATGTCTTTTTTAGCAAACGTTATCGACTTTAAATTTATAGTTATGTAGTTATGTTTTAGCAAGATAAAAAGCTGCTTTTCAAAATGTTTTAACAAAATAAAAAGCTGCTTTCAAAATGTTTTAGCAAGATAAAAAGCTGCTTTCAAAATGTTTTAGCAAGATAAAAAGCTGCTTTCAAAATGTTTTAGCAAGATAAAAAGCTGCTTTTAAAATGTTTTAGCAAGATAAAAAGCTGCTTTCAAAATGTTTTAGCAAGATAAAAAGCTGCTTTCAAAATGTTTTAGCAAGATAAAAAGCTGCTTTTCAAAATGTTTTAGCAAGATAAAAAGCTACTTTCAAAATGTTTTAACAAAATAAAAAGCTGCTTTTAAAATGTTTTAGCAAGATAAAAAGCTGCTTTCAAAATCTAAAAACCCACGATATGTATACATATCGCTACAGCGGTAAGTAGCTATATCCACCTGCTGCAAAAAATTTTAGTTACAAAAATGTTTATTCTTTTGCTCTTATTTATTGAATCAAAAATTTTGAATTTTTTTTTTAATAATGACAACATTACTTTAAAAAAATTAATAATTTTAATACAAAAGAAATTTTTTTTTTAATGAAGGTTCTAATTTATATATTTTTTATATATTCTAATAAATATATATTTTTTCTTTTTCTTTTCTTTTTTTTTTTTTTTTGAAAAGCGTGCATAAAACTTTCGGAAGTGAAATCTGTTGGAATGGAAGTTAAAACTTAATAACTAAAAATGTTTGCATCAGATAGTGCCCAAAATTTACATACTGGTTTTAAACTACCTTATCTCTCATTTGTGCCATAGTTTTTAAAAATACATGCTCCTGTGTGATGTAATTATGTTTTTTTTTAAAGATTGCACTAAATATCAACATTATTGCGAGTTACATTACATAAATATTTCCCATTATCAGTATTATCAATCCATGGCATAAATGAATCTCTTAACAATAATGAACAAACTGTGAAAATTTCAAGTCAAAAGCAGGTGTTTAACTAAAATTACAATGTTTTAAACTTTTGAAAATTTTTAAAAACTAAAAATTAAGTAAATCAAGAAAATGATTCAAGCATTTTGCGCACCTTAAATAAATCTTAATCCTATTTAGCACGTGATCAGAACAAAATTTTTATTATTTTTATTTATTTTATTATTTACATATTTTACATTTATTTTATATATTTATTTATTTTATGATTTAAAATTATTTAGTACAAAATAAATGTGATTTAGAACGATATAAATGTGATTTTTGAAATTAGTATCGAAAGGTTGGGCAAGAAAAGAGGAGGGGGTGGGGTAGATTTTATAATAGATAATGCTTTAGAGCTCGGTGAGGAGATTGGTTGTAAAAAGCATACAGGTGTGTATGCTTTTTGCGCACTTTATGGATGCCCTCAAAACAATCCTTCGAGCATTTGTTTTTAAAAGTTACGTTCTAAATGTCTTTTAAACGTTTTTTAAACATCTTATAAACGTTCTTTACGTAAGAATGTTTAGAAGACGTTTAAAAGACATTTAAAACACATTTAGAACGTAACTTTTGAAAACAAATGCCCGTTGGGAAAAGAAATAACGAAGTTTTCGAACGGCAAAAACGTCCCATCAAGCTGTAATCTTCTAAAACCAAAAATTATAGTAAAGGTTTGCACGCCATAACAATCAAACTTTTAAAATGTAAATAACTTAAAATAAAATTGTTTTCAAGTCATAGTTCCTTATCAAATATAGATCAGCATAAAATATGCCATTCATATATAAATTCATATATAAATCATATATAAATTGCTATCCATTCATATATAAATTATAGATTTTTAAAACGATCAAATTTGTTCATATTTTTTACAAAATTGCTCCAAAAATGTAGTTTCTAGGCAGTGCCGTGGCTATTAGGTCCGAGCCCCACCCCCCACCCGAAAGAAACTCTCAGAGGGAGGGGGTAGCGGTTTAAACTTTGTGATGACTCATTCGGAATTTTTTACAAAATTGTGATACAGGGGGGGGGAGGGGATCAAAAATTTTCAAAAATTAGGAATTACTAAAAAAAAAAAAAAGCTTCTTACATTTGCAAATGGGATCCCTAAATTCGCTAGGCTCCCTTTGATTGGGGGAGACTAACCACGACTTTGTTACTAGGGCACAATCGATGGGGCTTCTTTCGTCGTCTCTCTGTTTTCCACTTAAATTCACAATTTTCAGCTTTATATTTTTTTTTTTTGGGTTCTAAGATATTTTAAGCTAATTTCTCTCCTCCTAAAGGAACATTTTTATACGTATGCAGGGCATTGAATTAAACCAATCACAGTCTTATTTTTGTCAAAACAGACCAATCACATAACTTTAAAATAAGAATCACCAATTTTTATTTGCGGAAAATAAAAACAACAAATCAATAAAAATGTAATATGACAAATGGCTTGCTTTATACTTGCTATGTTTCTTGATAAAAGTGGGCTTTTAATATTTTTTTGATCGAGTAAATATAACTAGTACCTTAGTATAATAAACAATGTACCTTGAAAAGCTTCAAAACTTGCAGGCCATATTTTTTGAATCTAGTGTCGGTTCTGAATAATATTTAAATATTATTTACATAGTTTCATGTATTCAATTGCTTTAATAATAATTTTTTTTAGTGACAAAGCAGAATTAATAGGTTACTAGCAACTTTAATATAAAAAAAAGCTTAGCCCTGATCACATAAATGTAATTATAATTATATTTATTAAATATAATTACTATTATAGTACTTAAAAGACTTAAGCACTTAATTATTTTATATTTTTAAACGACTGTTTGCAATTACAATATAAAAAGAAATTGCTATGCTATTTGAATTATACACAGTTTACCAATAACATGCTTTATCTATTTAGTATTTTAGTTATAGTGCAAAGTTGTATCCATTTATCCATTTAATCGATTGTATCCATTTAATCGATTAAGCAGCTAATTTTTTGATTAATCATAGTCATAGAGAAATTACTAAACTTATTTTAGTTGATCTGAATGAGAATACATCAAATAATTTGAATAAAAATTTTAACAACCAGTTAAAAAATAAGTTTTTTTAGAAAGACGTATCAATTTCGATTCAGTTGTTGAGTTATTTGTTGATAGTATTCTTTACTTTTATTTTACTAATGAAGAAATTGTATTTTTTGCTTTTGTCTTTGCAGAAAAGACATTTATAACATGAGTTGGCTTTTCATCTCATCACTAGTTATAAAAGCAGAGTTGAAAAAAAAAGCTGTAAAAGTGAAAATACAACTCAAAGTTACCCAAATTTCTCTACAAATTATTCAGTATAATCCAGTTTAATTTAATTTTAAAAATGTAATAGTTTTATTTATTCATAAGTCACCCTAATTCCAGAAAAAATTATTAATGATTAATGCTACCCTACTACTATAAAAGAAGAGTAGCTTTCTTATATCTATCACGGTTATGTCTAATATTTACTTTGTACAATAGTCAATTTTTATCATTTTTATCTGAATAATTTTATACACATTACTTTTTAATCTAAACATTTGAGCGTATTTGCTTGTATGAGTTAGATAAATATGCTAAATATTCTAAAATATTAATTTACTTGTTAAATGTTTTTTACAATAATGACACACAAATAAATATAGTTTTAGAATAACAGTAAGTTATAATAAAATAAAAATAAACTGTCATTTTAAATATCAAAATTTTTATTGTATTTTTTATTGTCATTTTTGGATATCAAAACTTTTATTCTAAAATCTGTAGTTTTGTTTGAAAATTTTTATTGAAGTAGTAAAATATTGATCATCAATTCAATGGTAATCTTAACTTTATTTTCAGAATCAATATCAATAGCTAATATAAGATGTCTTTTTTAAATAAAGAATTAATCAACCAATCATCTGCTTTACATCCAAGACCAGATTTTCTGTTTACATATGGCACTGCTGGGTTTAGAGAAAAGTATGTATAAATTTTATATTTTACAAATAACATTGTTTTTTAAAAATCTGTAAAATAAATTTTCATTGTTTTACTTTTTTTTTTTTTTTTTCCTTTTTAAAAATCTTAAATTTAATTCTTAGAGGAGACCTATTGGATTCCGTTGTTTTTCGAGTTGGAATGTTAGCTGTACTTCGCTCTAAACATAAAAATGGACGTTAGTAGAGAACATATGTATTATAATAAATACTTTAATATCATTAAAGTTAATTTAATTATCATTGAAAGTTTAGTGAATACACTTAATTAGTGTTTTTATACTATTTAATTATTTATTTGGACAGTATTTTTGTTCTTGCAAATTTTTTTATTTATTTTTTTTCATTTTATTTCATCCTTATTTTTTTCTTTATAGATATTTTTAATATAAGTATAGTTATGGTGTTTATTTTAGAAGCTATTGGTGTCATGGTTACAGCTTCTCATAATCCTGTGCAGGTTTGATACAAAAATTGTTCAATTAAAGTATATCTATATTTGTCTGAATATCTTAAAATAGTTCTATGCTAGTTAGTTTCACACAACATTTTAAATCTCAAATTAGCTTTAAATAATAAATCTTTAAAGAGAGTGTGTAGGCTAAGAACTTCACTAGTTAGATCAAATTTTGATTTATACAATTCTAATTTTATACAGCTGTTTAGGTCACCAAATCACCTGTATGCAGTGAAAAAACAACCCAGAAACTGAGTGAAAATATTTTAATTTATTTATGTTGGATAGATGATTTGAATTACATTTGAAAAGTTTTAATTTTAATTTTCACTTTCTTATTCTTAAGTTGAGAGTAATGCTTAAACAAGGTTTTCTAAAGCTCTTTTATTTTAAACAGTTTGCAAGAAGAATAAAACAGGAAAAAGCTTATTTTTCTCTAACTTTATTAATATTGAAATAAGACAAGAAAAAGACATTTATGATTTCGTCTCATTAAATTCCATTATTGAGAATGATATATAAAATTCTTTTCAACATTTCTGTTTTAATTAGGATCAATAATAAAACTTTTTATTTATTTAAGTTTTGTTCGAGAAGCTTTTATCATTAATAAACCTAGAATGTAGCATAGTTGATATTTATTTTGTTTAAACATTTTTTTATTTTACTGTTGTTATCAGTATTTTTTAAATTTCTCCAAAATTTAAACCAATTATATAAAGTAAAGATTTAGCAAAAGTTTCAATTTTTAAATTAATTTCTTTAACTAATTTATTTATTTATCAATATTAATTAATTACTCATGAGCTGCAAAGTGCACTAAAATAACAATTGTCAATATTAGTTAATTATTCATGAGCTATGAAGTGCGCTTAAATAACAATTATCAATATTAATTAATTACTCATGATCTACGAAGTGCGCTTAAATAACAATTATCAATATTAATTACTCATGAGCTTTAAAGTGCGCTTAAATAACAAATATCAATATTAATTAATGACTCTTGAGCTATGAAGAGCTACAATGCAGTAGTGGCATAGAGATGTGTAAAGAGGTGTAGAGTGCTCGCCTCATTAGCAAAAAGTTCTGAGTTCGATGTGGTGGGGCCACATCTCTGGTAGTACTGTGCTAAACTTGTTTCTCTGTGCAGCATCCTTGTTTGTCAAGATTTGTGTTTAAGAGTTATTGAGTTAGGGGAGGGTTGTAACCACAATTAAAGCAGTCTCCTCGACAGTAGGTCTTCATAGTCTTAGGAGGTGAATTAACATAAAAAAAGTGTTTAACAAAATATTAGAAATCTATTTTTACTACTTTTTATTTTTTTTATTTTGTGGTTATTAGGGCGCTCCTAGAAGTTCTTACAGTCTCATCACAGTCTCATCACAGTCTCATCACAATCTCATCACAGTCTCATCACAATCTCATCACAGTCTCATCACAGTCTCATCACAGAGCACTGTGGAAGACCATTTAACTAAAAAGCTCACATCTCCTTCTTTACCAATAAGAGCAGTCAAATTAAACAAGAATTCTAAAACTGTAATATCTAAACATTTATTTAATATATATATATACTAATATAATTTGGTTTGCTTAACATACTTTTAAGTATATTAAGCAAAATATAAAAATGATATTTTTATTAACAGTTAAAACTGTCAATTAAAAAGTTTTATGATATATGGTAAAGTTAGTGTATTTTTAATCACTATTTCAAGTTGGTCACTTTTACTTAATTTTATTTAAACAAAAAATATTAGGAAATATCATAAAACACTTATTAAATAGATATATTTTGGATTAGGCATTACAAGTTTTTTGCAAGCTTGCTCAACTATTGGCATGAGAAATCTAGAAAATAATTAGTTCTTCACAGCATTGGATGTTTTTATGCTTTCGCTGACATGTGACCACAACTTTGAGTGACTGGCTATTGCACCTATGTATTGTTGTTTGTAATTGATGATTAAATTGTTTACTATTGCTTGCCAAAGCACTTTGGTACTTACTGCAGCTGTTTACTAGTAGCTACCAATTCCACTACAAAATGTTATGGTAGAGATTGTGCAGACCAGCATCATTCATACTTCTTTTTCTAACATTTCTAGACATTTCTTTTGTAAATTTATTTATTTTTATTATTAATAAAAATAATTAAAAAGAAGTATTTTGTATTTTGAAAGACATTAAAAATTCAAAATACATAAAAAATTGTATTTAAAATACAAATATTAGATACTTGACTAAAAAGTATTTTAAATACAAAATACAAATATTTTAAAAGTATTTTAAATGCATATTTAAAATACTAGTATTAAAAAAAACTTTACAACATTGAAAACAGATCAATATAAAGTAGAACTACTCTATCAAAATGTGTAAAAATATTTTTATTTGCCGGCGATATGTGAAATAAAATGTTTATTAATTGAAACTGAAAATTTATTCATTCACCTAATCCAATGTTCAACAGTAGGGGTTATAATTTAAAGTTAACAGATATAATTTCTATTGTTCAACACTATTTGAAAAATACAAAACAAAATCATATATTAAAAAATGTCAAACCTTCATTACTGTGGTAGTATTACGAGTTCGATCCTCACCACGTCCCTGGTAGTAACGCGCACAACTCGTTTCTCTGCGCAGCGGCCTTGTTCGTCAAGGTTCGTGTTTCGGAGTTATAGAGTTGAAAGAGGGTTATAGCCACAAAATAAGTAGCCTCCTCATTTGTAGTGGCCTTCTCGGCCTTGAGGAGGTGAATTAAAATTAAAAAATATATATATATGATTTAAAAAAAAGATGGAAACATGATGTAGCATAACACAATGCATATAATATTGCATCAAACAGTGTATTTTGAACTTCAAAAATAATTGACAATTATTTAAACAGCTACAAGAAACAATGAGAAATGAATTATATTGTAAACAACTGCATTAATATATCAGGCTTTTCTACTTACCATCATTGTTTATAAATCGAAAAGAGACTTATATCAATCATGGTGCAAAGATTATTCAACCAACACAGTGTATACAAGATCAGGTATCTGTATTTGCAGACAGATTCCTATAAGATGGTCCTATGGTTCTATTAGATGGTCACAGCTTTTATGTGTTAATAAAAGTTATTAAAATATGTAAAGAGAACAATGTCAGATTGGTCTACCTACCAGCTCAATCAAAACATATTTTGCAACCACTAAATGCTGGAATATATTGTCACATTAAACATACCTGGGAAATTTATTAAAATTGTATTATGAATAATCAAACTGAAAAAATGTTGATAAAGCTAATTTTCTAAGTTCATTAAAAGTTTTATATGGAAGTTTCATGTACTTCACCAGAATACATGCAATCAGTTTTTTTGAAAAAGCAAGGTTATTTTGTTTCAATAAATCCAATATTGACCTATCAAAATTGATAAAACAGAAGTATTCGAAGATCCAGCATCAGAGCTAGCATCACATTCAGCATTAACTATTTACTGCACAGTGTTCATCATCAATTTCATCAAAACCAACAATACCAATCTCATGTATTTCATTTGAATATTATAACAAAAGGCACATTTCAATTAAAATAGTTATTCACTTATTCACAAATCTAAAAGAAACAATGTAAGAATTGAGGGAGAAGCTTTGACTAAAGCTAAAACAATGGTGAAAGTTCAAACAATCAATGAAAAATGCGATAGAAAAAAGGCTGCAAATGTAACGTACATTTGCAGCCTTTTACAACTACGCAGACTTGTAGAAAATAGATTACTTCGATCTAGAAAATTTCTATCATTTTATTTATGCATTTCTATAATTCAATGGTTCAATATAAAATTAACTTGTATTTGTTGTGGTTTTGCAATCAAATATGTACTTCAAAACAATATCAGCGAAGCACTGAGTTTTTCTGCACAAAAAAGTTTAAACTAGTGGTTCTAGTATTGAATAATAGATGGATCTATTTTTTTTTATTAGTTTTTATATACATGGTGGCCACAGTCCTGGAATGTCCTGGAATGTCCTGGATTTTTGCAAGTGTCCTGGAATGTCCTGAAATGTCCTGGAAAATTACATTTTTTTCAAAAATGTCCTGAAATGTCCTGGATTTTTTTTTTTTTTTTTGAGTCAAGTTAAAAAATTACTAATAATATTGAAGTAATATTAAATTTTTTATGCGAAAATTTTTTTTTATAAATGGTTTGAATTTAATTTTAAATAAGAGACAATATAATAATATAATATCCTATTCTAAAATTCAATCAATATGAAAAAAATATAACGTAAAGATAATTGATAATATTCATTTAATAAGATATAAAATGTCCTGGCAAACGCAACAAAATGTCCTGGAATGTTCTGGAAATGTCCTGGAATTTAACTTTTAAAATTTTGTGGCCACCATGTATATATAAATTAGTTTTTTGCTTCTTTTTTTATTGTTTTTTCATTTATTAAAACAGTGATTGGCTTTAAAATTAATTTTAAGACATAAATGTTACGTAAAATGTTTTTTTTTTTTACATAATTTTTAGCAAGCAAATTTTTTTATCTATTGAAAAATTCCTGTGAAAAAATGTTTCTTATTAAAAATAAATTAAACTTTTTGAATGTTAATCAATATTAGGCTAACTTACCTAATTGTCAATATATTTTTTATCAAATTCAAATATACATTTTTTAAAATCTTTGGTATATTTATTTGCTATTTTACACAAAAAGTATAAAGTAAATATAGTAGTAAAATAATCATGCAAAAGTATTTATAAAATTATTTGTGTATGCGTTTATGTATTTAAGAAACGAGATGTAAAATACTTGTTGCTAAAATATATTGCTATTATACATGTTGCTACACTAAAAATATAATAACATAGTAAAAATACAATAATAAAGTACTGAAAAAGTGCATAAAAAGTACCACGTTACCATTACTATTTGCATTACATTGTTAGCTTTTAGATTCTAAGAAGAATGATGTTTATTGCAGACTTTTTAGGGACAGAGCTAAATTTAAAAAAAAAAACATGAAAAAGAAAAAAGAAAACTTTTTTATTGTTGTAATTGATAAACTTTTTGAAGATCACTTTCACACTACCTGCCCACAATGTAAATAATTTTTTATACAGAAGCTTTTTATGGCTTTATTTGGTATACTGTTATTAGTATTATAACCTTTTATAGTATGTTTGCACTATTTAGTAAAATTGATATTTTTCCAAACCTCGCCATGATTAAACAGTGAAGTTAGTTTAATTTTGGTTTGTTATTGCCACGGTTAAGACTTTTTTTGTGTTTCAATGGTTTTTGACTATTATGAAAGTAAAAATATTTTTAAATCTATTAATTTCAAAATTAGTTTATATAGGGGATTACTAGATAATTTTAATTATATTAGTTATACATATTAGTTTAATTATCTATGTAGTAACATTTTTAACTCTAATTTTTTTTTTTAAACAAAGATTTTAAAGAACAAAAACTTTAAAACTAACTATTTTTAATGATAAACACATTTTTTTCAATTGTGTATTCAAATCTTTATTTAGGATAATGGAATCAAATTGGTTGATCCGTTTGGTGAAATGTTAGAGCAATCTTGGGAGGGTTTTGCTACAGAGTTGGCAAGAGCAAAGTAATTGACTTTTTATGCTAATAAAAAAATATATATATATATACACTGCGTGACATAATGATAAGACACCCCAAAAATATTTATAAAACTCTACTATACATTTATATTCAAAAACTAATTTTTATAGTAAATGAGGGCATTTAAAAAAATTTATTTTAAACCTAATTCGCATTTTATTTTAAAAAAAACTGTTTTTTTTAGTGCAACAAAATTATAAGACACTTTTCGAAAAAACTTATATAAATAGTCATTTATATAAAAAGACGTCTCAATTTTAAACAATCAATAGTCGGTTTACAATTTTTTTGAATTACTTCAATTATTCTAGAAGGTAAAGAATCATACAACTTTTTTATGTACGAAATGTCAATTGCATCCCATGCATATGCGATGGATGATTTCAAGTCAGCTAGTGAACTATATTGTTTACCACCTTCAAACACTATATGTGAAAGCTTTGCCCAAGCATTCTCAATAATGATCAGGTCTGGAGATCTAGCTGGCCACTTCAATGTTTCAATTTTACTGCTGTTGAAATATTCCTTTACTATTTTAGCTGTATGAACGCTAGCATTATCTTACTGAAAAACAAAATTTTTACCACCTATTACAGATGCTTCATGTCTTAAAAATTCTTAAACAATTAAAAGATAATCCTTAGCCTTCATTTTTTTGTCAATAAAATGAATTTTTGATTCACTATGATACCCAATCGCACACCAAATCATTACACCACCACCACCCATTTGACGTCGTTGCTGTGTTACTGGTTCTTTACGCAAATCCTAAAATAATAATTCCATCTATCCGGCCCATCATGACAAAATCGTTTTTCATCAGAAAATACTACTTGTTGCCACTCTTCTTTCAATGTTACGTGGTCCTTTGCTAAAGTTGTTCGATTATTTATGTGATTTGTTGTCAAAGGTGGTTTTTGATGAAGTTTTTTGCACGAAAGGTGAAAAGCATTATTTATAAATCTTTTTGGAGTGTCTTATCATTATGTAGCAGTATAAATATATATATATATATATATATATATATATATATATATATATATATATATATATATATATATATATATATATATATATATATATATATATATATATATATATATATATATATATATATATTAAGGGGGTCCAAACTCTATATTTTTTATTAAACCAATTATTCTTATTAAAGTTTTAATAAACAATTTAGTTTTTGCTATTTTTTTGTGGTTGACCTTCTACTTGATAACTA